ACAAAGGTCTAAAGGTCTTGACAAGGGTTGTAATGTAAGGGAAAAAAGGGTGAAGGTAGGCTAAAATTTGAATTTTGGTGGTATACCTAAATTGTGAAGTAAAGGGTGATCAATCCTCAACACCATAATCAAGCAATCACCAAACAAAACACCAACACCCCTAAGCTTATTCAAAGCCAAAATCACAAACATATATACAAAGAGCGTAAGAACGCTTCCCCCAAGCTAAAATGAAGCATTGTCCTCAATGCTTAAAATAGGGAAAAACTCTTACCTCAAAATAATTTTTGAACTTTTTAATTTTTCACTCTTTATCATTTTTGCCAAAGCTTTTTTTGCTATTTTTTCATTGTTTCAATTTTTTCATTTTTCACATTATTTCATTGTCCTCGCCTCTTTTAACTATGGATGGCTTTTTCTACTTGGCAATTTGCCTTTTATTCACAAAATATTTATAATACAAAATTGCATTCATTATAAGAACCAATATACAACACAACAACCATAATCTCTAACAATGATCAATTGCTTCATAAAAACCAATAAAGGAAACAAGAATGAAACAAAAGACTCAAAATCTAATGATATGGCTTGAACATATGGTTTATGGCTCAAATGGTTAGCAAGTAGACAAATGAAAACTCAGAATAAAGAAATATAAAACTATCCTAGACAAATAAAAAACACAACCCCAAAAAGATGCCTTTGTCCTTCCAAAATGGCTCGGTCGCGATCTCGGGAGAAAAGAGTCAAATTCTAGATAAATCATACAATAGTCAAGGATTCGTGTGCCGCTCATGTAAAATATGTAGAAGGCTTGAAAAGAATGAAACCTCACATGGTTGTAGCAAAAACTCACTATTAGTTTCGAATTTACCAAAAAGGGAGCAATGTGAAAATTTCAAAAACAATTAGAATCCAGCTTAAAGGTCCCAAAAGTTCTAAATACACTACCTTAGAATACTCTATCCTAAAGTCAACCAAAGATACTCTCAAACTGTGAATACTGATACCACATAGGAAACTATTCATTCAAAAGCAAAAGTTTGGATGATATTATGTCCGTAACAAAAGCATTACATGAAAAGAAAACTAAAAGAAAGCCTTAAAATCATATTTTTGGATTTTTGCATTTATGAAAAGAATGAAATGAAAAAGAAAAATAGAAAAGCGAAGAAGAGGAAAAGAGAAAGAAAAGTGCAAAGATGCATGCATGTCATATAAATCCTAATCGACAAACAAGTGGTCACTCGACAACATCATAAATGACCGCAAACACCCTTGGTGTTACAAAGCAAACATCCTCGAACCGTTCAACTCTTTCTAAACTAGTCCTATTCTATGCAAACAATGAAAGAAAATAAAAAAATGGAAATAAGAAAGATCTCACTGGGAATCCAAGCTAAGCAAAAAAAAGTGTGGTAAAGAAAGTACCACCTCCATGAAGCTCCAAAAATCATAGCAAGAATTTGCAAAACCGAGTAGAATGAAAAAGAGAAAATGAGCAATATACAAGAGAACAATTATTAACTTTAAAACAAAAAAAGAAAACAAAATCAAAAATGAAAAACATAGAAACAAAATAAACTAATCTATAAATCAAATCAAAACAAAACAAACCAAACAAACTAACAAAATCAATTATACACTTAAATTACAGAAACAACTAACACCTAAGCATGCAAAAATCATTTGGATTAGAGGGATTTGGATTCAAGGATTTTGGATTTTGGGATTTAGATTCATGGGAGCAAAAACCACCAACACATCATGGAAAAACCATCATCATCAAAACTAATCAACTAAAAATATTCAATCAGAATAATATGATATGATCATGGAAACATCTACAAAACTCAACAACATCAAGTGTGAATCGAGACAAGCAATCATACGTCATCAAGACATGAAAAATCAAGGATATCCAACAACAACAAAATTTTCCACCGAGACTTTTCATAAGACTAGTGTCTCCACAAGCTAAACAAAAATATATCTCAACATCCTATAAATACAAAACAAATATCACATGGTAAAAAGGATGGAGGTAAAAGCTCAAATAAAGGGGAACTAGCTACCACTATGCTCGACATTATAGTATGAAAAGCAAGATGGGGGGCCATAAGGATCTCATCCCTTGGTGTAGCCGGGTAGCTAACCATAATGGCCCTTAAAATTATCTTATTACCATGGGGACAAGGGATATATTTCTCGGGAACCTCTAGAGGCAATGGGTGGGTGGGATCGACATAGGGGTAGTTAGGATCACCCCTATAGTCGTTCCCACCGGGCACATGGTTATCATAGCTACCGTGCTCATCCGAAAATGACCTGGTCTTGAAATATTGGTCATATATCCCATCCATTCGGACTTGCATTCCCACCATTTGAGAACTCAAAGCCTCCATGTCGAGGTTGGTGAATTGACGTTGTCGAGGTTGAGGAACTTCTTGCTCTTGTTGTTGTTATTATTGTTGTTGTAGATTTCTTTGAATTTGTTGCTCTTTATTGAGCACATCTTCCATATCTTCATCCTCACCGTGGATGCGGTTGCTCTCGGTCACAAACCATACATTTGGGGCATGCCAGTGAAGGGAGGTCAGGGAGGGGTTCAGAAGATAGCACCGATGAGAATTCCTCACAAGCCAATCAAACACCTCCTCATCATCGCTCTTTGCTATGAATTATACTTGTTTGAGTTGAACGATGTTGAGGCAAAGGGTGTTGAGATCCCCTACTGGAGTGCAAGAAAGAAGATACCTCCCATATCCAAGGCTAGTAGCCAACCTAGTGATCATGCTACCACAAGGGATGTCTCCCGACCTACTGCCTCTTATGTCCAAACAATTCCTCATAAATATGTGCCCAAAGTTCAACCTCCCATGCAACTCTTCCCTGATTTCCTTTCATTCAACTCGCAATTCAGCATGCGATATCTTGCCCAAATCTTGCTTATGGAACACCGAGTACCCCAACAACCAATGAAGCACTCGTAGATGTGGCTGGAAAATGTCGCTTGCAAGGGAATAGCGAGCAGATAACTCATTCTTCCCCGAGATTGCTTGCCAACAAGCATTTTGAGAATACCCATCCAAGTAGTCTTGTTTGGAGAAGAGAATATCAGCCCCCGGGTTGAAGTCAATGGCGGCATTGAACTCGGCCAAGGACATGACATGCTTAATATTAAAAAGCTGGAAGGTGATTTGGAAGTCCTTGATACCAACCGGAGTAGTAGTCAAAGGGACAAAAAACTCCCTAGTTAGCTGAAGGTAGGTACGGTAGCGCTTGTTGACAAAGCTACCCAACCTAATGTTGTCGAATGGAACCTATAATTCCTCATCAATGCCTAATTTGATCATGCTTGATAGATGGTAATGTCGTGAGGGCTTTATGGATATTTTCTTGAAATTAGCCCAAAGCGGCTTATGGTTTGGATTGGCAAATTGGGTTTTGGTAGAGGAAGAGGCTCTTCATTTTGTGTTTGGGAAAAGGGTGTGTTTGATGGAGAAGGTTCTTCAATGGTTATGTTTGTCTTTCACTTATTGGAAGTGAGGGCTTTCATGATCTTACACATTTTTGTTTCACCAAATTCACAATCACAACTCCACAAATCACCACAAACATAACACTACCACAAGACTTGGTTCAACCAGCCAAGTATACCAATCACCACTTACTACCAATACTACAAAAATCAACCTTCCACAAATTGCAACCAGATTGCACAAATGAGCTACACAATCAACAACAGAACAATGTAAGGCATAATTAAGCAACAACAACACATATAATCAACCCAGTCAATCAATCAATCAACATATTCAACAAAAATGATACTACTACTATTCACAATCATAAAATAATCAAATTCTTGCTACAACTTGATATAAAAATGGAAAATAGAGGTAAAGAATATGATTATACCATACTAAAAGCAAGAATGATTAAGAATTAGGAACCAAAATCCACAACACTAATAACCCAATTTTCTCTTTGATGGAGGAGATAGATTGGAGAATAAGAAATGGAGGAAGGTAGTATAATTTTTGATGAAAATGATGAATTTTGAGTAGGAAATTGTTGAATTTGTGAGTTTTTTTTTATGATTTGAGGGATGATTTTTTATTGTTAGGGGGTTAGGGTTTCATGTTTATAGTGAGAAAGGGTGCGGACGAGTGTGGGTTTGGGTAGAAATGAGGAAAAGAAAAGAGAAAGAAAAAGAAGTAGGCTCGGCAAAGCTGTTGCGTGACCGCGCAGCAGAGGTGCACGCCCTCGCCCTTCCTACTCCTCCATCATCTTGCTTTCTTCTTGTGCTTGGTGCGTTCATACGTGAGCCTAATGATCTTTATCATCCCAAGATTATTGAACCCACTAAACACATCAGTTTCTAAATCCCTTTTCGATGGGTTCAACATCCCAAATTAATGAAAGCACTATAATGAACCCACCAAGCACAATTTAGCTTCACATTTTAGCACAACTTAACCTAACTTACCTTACCCATTCAACTTAAAATTCAATGATATCGGGCATACTTTCACCAAATACCATGAAACAGCTTCCCATTATGCTCATGCTCGTTAGAGGTAGTCGAATTTCCAAGAATTCAACCTATTAATTCAAATGCCAAACGAGTGAAAAAATAAAAGAAATTGAAAGAAAACTAAGAAAAATAGATACAAAAGAAAAAGTTAGAAAATTGAGTTGCCTCCCGGAAAGCGCTTGCTTAAGGTCCTTAGCTCGACCCTTCCTCCAAATCATTGAGGGTCAAAGAACACCACTTTGTTCAAAGTGGTAAAGGGGAAAAACTCTTTCTCATTCCTTAGCAACTTCACACCTATGTTTGATGTACTCTCATTTGTTGATACTTCCGAAACAAGCTTATTTTACTCCAACTTTTCCTCCTTCTTCACAAAATCTCTCTTTTCTTTCTTTGTCTTCTTACTCCTTCTAGTGGACGACTTCTTACCATCAAAACTCTTGGAGTCAACCTCGTCTTCTTAAGGGTAGAGCTCAGACCATGGAGGAATATCAATCACCTCCTCATCCACGAGCTTAGAAGGCTCCTTATTTTCTTCACTAATCTTATCGCATGCAACAATCAAAGGCACATCATCACAAACCTCAAGAACTTTGTTAGTAGAAGAAGAAATCATGCACATAATTCCATTCACAAGAGACAAAGATTCATGCATCGGTTTAAGCTCAAAACTAGCCTTATTGTTACCAACTCTCAAAGTAATAAGAGCTCCTTTCACATCTATCAAAGTTCCCAAAGTATCTAAGAAAGGTTTCCCTAAAATGATAGGTATGTTATCATCTTCCGCTATCTCAAGCACAATAAAATCAACTGGAATTGTAAACGCACCTATCTTGAGGGGAACATCCTCAACTCCTCCCTTTGAAAACTTAATAGATCGATCGGCCAATTGCAAAGTCATATTGGTTGGAAGAAGCTCACCTAGCTTAAGCTTCCTAAAGACCGAATAAGGTATGATACGCACAATAGCACCAAGATCACATAGAGTATTTTGGAACAATTTTCCATTAATTTTGCAAGGGATAGATAAGTTACTCGGATTTTTCATTTTCTTGGGTAAATCATTATGAATCAAAGCGCTATAACATTTCCCAACCTCTACCAAATCAATATCATTGCGCCCTCTCTGGCCACTCAAGATTTCCTTAAGGAACTTAGAATATCTTGAGCTTTGAGTCATGGCTTCGGTAAGAGGGATTGAAAGATGAACTTCCCTAAGCATATTAAGAAATCTCTAAAATTGTTTATCAATTTTGTTTCTCAAAAACTTTTGGGGATATGGAAATTTTGGTTTGATCACCTTCTCTTGAACTTTTTTGTCACTCTTCTCTTTCTCGTGGGCTTCTTTACTCACCTTCTTTGACACGTTGATCACTTTTTCCTCTCTTGAATCACTCATCTTCTTATCTTCCTCACTTTTCCTAGAAACTCTCGTTTCAAGCACTTTCCCACTCCTTATGGTGATAGAATAAACGGTTTTCCTAGGTTCAAATCCTTGTGAGGGTAAAGAAGAAGTAAAACTCTCTTTCAAGGTATTAGCCAATTGAGTGATTTGAGTTTCAAGCATCTTGTTGTGTGCCATCATCTCATTGAACTTTTTATCACTTACTGACATAAAAGTGTTTAAAATTTTAGTTTGGTTCTTGATGATCTCTTCCAAGGTAGGTTTAGAAGTTGAAGGTTGAGCATAGGAATTATCACCATTACCTTGAGTTCTTGAAGAAAATTCGGGTAGGGGTCCCCTTTGGTTGTTGTTTTCAAAATTCCCTCAATTCTGGTTGCTCCAATTACCCCAGTTTTAATTTTGGTCATTATTTTGTTATTGGTTACCATAGCCTTGACCTTGTCTTTGGTTTCCATACCCTTGGCCCTGGTTTTAATTATTATAGTTTCCTAGAAAATTTTGATTTCCTTGGTTTCTATAACCACCATTGTTATAATAATCAAAATTCCCTTGTTGGTGAACATTCTATTCCCAAAGTATATTAGTCTATCACATCTTTGTCCATTGTTGTTATTTGAAACAAAATTTACTTGCTCACAATCATTATTATCAACATAATCACAATTCTCAAATTCATGTGGACAATTAGAAAAATCATGGTCATATGACCCACATACATCACAAAACACACATCCATTTGGCATATTACTCAAAGTTGAAGAAGGAGTAGAGTTAGAAGATGTACCTCTCCCCTTATTGTGGGAGGGAAGAATTTGTGATTATGAAGAAGCACTCTCAAGCTTTGCCTTTATTGAGGTCATCTCCTTTCCTAAGTTTAAGATTTGTGAGAACAAATTGTTGATGGCATTGTGATAGTCGATTGAATAAACCGTTGAACCGCTTTTACTTCTCGATTGACTATCTATCACCTTTTTTCCAATCCATGTGATATCTTACCACATCTTCAATTAATTTCTCCACTTCATCCTCCATTTTGTTCAAGACAAGGCCTCAAGCACCGGCAACCAAGCAAGACTTTCCTTGGGGGCTTAAACCTCCATAGAAGATTTGGATGATTTGATAGGTACGTAGGAATCCCATAGTTTGAGAACTCTCATCGGTACTCCTTATACCTTTCCAATCCCATGCCTCATGAAGACTTTCATTCGGCTTTTGCTTGAAGATTTAAATGGGAGCTCTTGCTTTGGCCGTCTTCTTTTGTGGATGAAACCGAGATAGAAACTCCTTAGTCACTTCATCCCATGTTCTTAAATAGTTTGGCTTCATCTCCTTGTCTAACCACACTAAGGTACATCCAATAAGAGAGAAAGGAAAAAGCTTAAGTCGAATAAACTCTTTAGAAACCCCGCTCACCTTGATTATGTTGCAATACTTCTCAAATTCCTAAAGATGGTTTAGGGGAATCTCATGCTTTGCATCAATATATTGACGCCTCTCTATCAAAGTAATCATCGCCTGTCTTATCTCAAAATCATTTGTCGGTGTCATAGGAGGAGCAATTCCGCTTTCAAACCTATAAGCTCCCAGAGTTCCCAACTCCTTCAATGCTACTCTCGGATTAGCGCCCATGCTTTCTCGTTAATCTTCTTCTTTTTGATGGATTTTCTCTCTTAGAGGACTTGAACTTCAAGAACGATTGACAACCCTTATCCTTGTTATAGTCCTCTCAATTTTTGGATCAAATGGTACCAAATTTCAATCTCGTGCCCTAAGAAAACAAAACTCAAATAAAAATATCAATTGCACGGCTAAAAATGTAGCCTAAAAGAGATAAAATCTTTTTGTATTTTTCAAATAAAATGGAATAGACTCAATCCAAAATAGCAGTCACCAAACTATTCCCCGGCAATGACGCCATTTTTTACGGCGGATAAACCTAGGTAGTTGACAAGGGAATAAACACGTCGTCAAATTGCCTATCCCTTAATCAAATACAATTTATAAAACCTAAACAAACCTAATACAATTATAAGGTAAGCAAAGGGTCAAACCGCAGGGAGAAGTTAACCACCGTAATCACCACTAATCAATTAAGCTATCTCGGAACAAAGAGTGGAATTATCTAAGAGATTAAACTAAGAGAAAATTGAATTAAAGACAATATAAATAAAGCACCAAGGGGAATGAGTAGATGCAGGCTTCACTTGAACATGCAATAGTATAGAAACAAATCGATAATGAAATAAATATGCATGAATATCGATATAACAAGTCCAATCTAGCCACCTTCTGGAGTTAATTGGATTCTCCTAACATTGCCTCTATGCCTTCACATTAGAACCATATATTGGGAGGTAAAATTAAGTAATTATCAATAGAAATGAACTTAGCTAAATCAACTTCCGTTTCATGTAGCAAAGATTCACCTTTAATCAACTAAAAACGTGCACTTTGCAAAAAAGATCAAAAAACAATCAAGCATGTAAAGACTTTAATCACCATCAACTTAAATCCAAACACTATAAGCATGAACAAAATCCAACTACATAAACCCTGTACCCTTGGCTAGATAACTACTCACTATCCATGGCAATCATCAAGTCAATCATGATATTAACAAGCAAAAGCATGATTAATGAGTAATTAATAAAACAAAAGCAATTTAACACAAAATCAAATAGCAAAGTAAAGAGAAAAGAGTAAGGAAATTCTCATTCATTGAAGTTGAAGTTCTACAAAGAGGTTGATTAAGCTTCTTCCTCAAATTTCAAGCTCAACAATGGAGTAATCCACACTTTCTCTCTCTAAAATGCCAAAACTAATGGTGTTTCTCTATCTAGATTAAGCTAAAAATCAGAAGATTAAAACTAAGCTAATCTAATTACCCCTCAAAGAGGGTACGGACTATATATATGTGCTTCTAAAAAGAAAGAAACTTGAGCAACAAGGCGGAGATAGAAAAATCTGAAACCCAGCGATGCGCGCCCGCACACGAGTTCCGCGCGCCCGTACAGGTGTAATGCGCACCCTCTCAGGATAATGCGCGCCCGTAACTTTGTGGGTACGGAGAAAAGAAGCCCTTGGGTGCACGCCCGCACTACAAGTCTGCGCAATCGCACAGCAGGTCGCGCACCCGCGTAGAGGTCGCACAGCAGGCGCACAAAACTCTTTGGTTTGGCTCTATTTCTTGAGTTTGGCTACGCGGATTCAGACAGGGCTGCGCGCCTGCATGGTATGTGATGCACGCTCGAACGGTAGTGTAGACACCCAAATGTGTCTCCCCAAAACCAAACCCAGTGATGAATACCTTTCACTTCATTTGATTATCGAACAAAGTGAAAGTGTGGAAAGTCTAATGATGAGGATATTTTTATTAAAATATTTCTCTTTCTGTTTTCAAAAATATTTTTTTTCTTTCCTTATTTATGAAAAATAGCCAGTCCAATTTGGTTTGGTCCATGATAATGGTCCAATAATAGTGTAGTTGAATTGGGATCGAAATGTGCTTTCCAATGATATATTATAAGCCCAATTTCGATGAATAATGAGGAAGTTGTGGATTAAATTAAATTAGGCTCAATGATTTTTAAACGTGGCCCAATGATCTAGAGTAGGGCCTATTAATTATCATTCCTAAAGTGATTAGGATTGATTTTTCTTGGAATATCTAGAAGGTTCTTTTTAATTCTAATAAAATTAGGATTGATAATAATATTTTAAAAGGTGTTTTATTTTGAATAAAATATATTTAATCTGATTTTAAATTGCTTGGACGCATAATTACCTACAACTTGTTTGAAAGTTAATTACGCGTGTAAAAGCGCGTAAATTTTAAACCAGCGCGAGACAACAGATTCGTTGTCAGGCGCTGGCCTTCGTCGTCTGGCGCTGACTATTTTTAGGGCAAGTTCAATATCTTTTAGGTTGGATTTGTACCTTTATCCCCGAAATTCCAGTCATGGTTCCAGACCTATTAGAGTTAACGATCTCTTGGATCATTAAGGGGTGTAACCTTCACCCTGTGAATGGTTTACAAGTTCCTAAAACTTGTTGGCGACTCTGTTACTCTAGCTTCCTTCCCTTTGGACGCCACCATGCTTAAGTGTATGATCACAGTGGGGCTCAAGTGTGGGATGGCTTGAAATATTCCCTATAGGTGGCCGCGTAGCAGTCGCACAATTATGCGCACCGAATAGCCTGCTTAGCTCCTTGAACTCCTCCTTATGCGTTCCTTCTCACAATTATGCGCGCCCGCGCATTATCAATGCGCGACCTCTTCAGCTCGCGCGCAACGTTGATTACTTGGTTCAAAGCTTCCTTCTTACAACACCATGGTTCCTACAAAACACAAACAAGAAAGCCAAACTAGAAAATACACAAAGGAGGTAAAATAGGAAAGAAGATGGACAAAAGAAATGAGAACTAAAGATAATAAAAGGGGTACAAACAAGCTACAAGTATGAAAAAAACTCTTAATCATGGAATAAATGCCACTCATCATTTGTTGGTAACTAGATTTCCCGGTCAAAACAAAATTTGTGAAACCAAACCCAACCCTAGGTATAAGGGTACGTCCAGGTCAAACCTAAAGGAAGGCGATATTGCTAAGGTCTAAGCTAAGCTATTCCCAAATCTTAAAACGATGGGTTGGTCTATGTTATAGAAATTAAATCAATTAACAAGTGAAAATCAATTATCAAAACACTATGTAATTTAGGATCCACATGAACCAATGATAAACTTGCTAAGTTAACGGGAATTTGATCAATTAATCAATGCAAGGGAAAACGATATTTGCAATCTATATAACTCAAGAAGCTATTTCCTAGGGCCAAGTTAATTGCCTCTACAAATGACTTAAAAGGAAAATAGCAAATCAGGATCAATTGATAATAATAACATTCAAATCAATTGTTCATGTCATTGAATATTATTATGCAATCTAGCATGATCATCAAGTTTAGCTACCCCTCTTAAAATCAAACACGTGTACAAATTTCATCAACCAATTTAATCACATCTATAAATCAATTAAAAACACCAAATTACCTATAGATTATCACTAATACATGCTTCACCACATCCCCAGCAAAGGAACCATTCACTACTCATGATAAAATTGAAAATCATAACAAAAGAAATCATCAATCTCATCATCAACATTGTAATCTAAATAT